GAAAACTTTTGAGCATCGATGAAATCAACTCACAGAGTGTAAACACTGCACATTAAACTATGTCAACGCAAAATTTCAATTAATTTTACTCAACGGATCAAAAGTTAGAGCAATTTGAGTGTGTGTGGATTTTAAACGGTGCACGCTATTTAAAAACTACCCAAATTTGGGTACAATACACCCAAATCGGTCAAAACTGAACCTACCCAAAAATGGGTAAACTGTGTTGGGAGTGACAAGTTGACAAATGAACAACATTAACGTGAATCCGATCGACGTTGTTCATTTGTCAACTTGTCACTCCCAACACAGTTTACCCATTTTTGGGTAGGTTCAGTTTTGACCTATCTGGGTGGATTGAACCTAAAGTTGGTTAGTTTTTAAATAGTATGTGAACCATTTAATCGGGAAGATCTTTCGACAATGGAAGGGCAATTGCACTTTCGTATGGCACGTGTACGAAAGTAACTATAAGCTGATCCCTCAAAATGTATGGAAGATTTTTATGGTGACCATACGAAACTGCCATGCCGATGACGTTCGGGTACTGCAAACATTAGCAACGGCGTAGTACGGATTCTGATGGACATTCCCAAATAGGATTCATGACAGTCCCAGGGGGGATTCTGTAAAATCCCTGGGAGGATTCCAGTCAATCACAAAGGGGATTTATAACAGTCTCAGTAGAGATCCGGAACAAGCCTAGGGGGAATTTCAGTGCTGCTGAATAATTATGAAAAAAATTCCATGGGAAGTTCGAGTGAAGTGGGTCGCCAGTAGAACTTCTGAGGGTAATTTGAAGATACTGTTGGAACGGAATGTTGATGAAACTTCCGTTGAACGATGGAAGAAATTTGCAAGGGCAAATTTTAAAAAATTTCCAGGAGATGTTGGAAGAAACTTCCATGCAAAGTCAGACGAACCCTGGCAGAGAAATCATAAAAATCCTTCCGAAGAAGCTGGTCAAAACCAACCGGTGGAAATTAACGATTTTAAATTGGCTCACTACTTGACTAGCCTATTGGTCCCAAGCAAATCGATTAACGTACCCCATTTGATTAGAAATTCTAGTACTACGCAATGTTTGTTTTGATGCGCTATGAAAGTTTGACAGATAAAATGAGGGGTTCGTAGATCTTCCTATGTTTCGAGGGGTGCATCGATTATCTTGGGACCGAAGTGAGTACCAGAGCTGAGCCAAAAAGTTGAGCACGTTTCTTCAATACCTTCTAGTCTTAGAGTTACCTCTATGTCAAAACCTTCATGGGGAAGTTGGAAGAAACTTCCAGAAAGTGTCGGAAAATTTTCCAGTGGAAATCCTGGCAAAGTTCCCAGGCGAATTTCCCGGGAAGAGTCTTTAGCTGTTTTCAAATTTCTAGAAATGGCTGGGAAATGGAAACACCAACACCACTACATCACCAAAAACTTCAAACTTGCCATCGGTCCCTAGGAAGCAAAAGAGGCCTAAACATCCTTGATCTGGTCAAGATCCATCTAACTTAGACTACTTTGTTTATTTTTGAGTAAATATAAAGGCCCCAGCGCAATGACAGCAGAAGCGGAACGGCATCGGCAGCGGAAAAAGCCCGCTCTGAGTAAGCCTACCTGTCAGATTGAAAACTATTTAGAACCAAATTGACATCGGTTAGACTTCTTGATGTAATTTGTGACAACTGTTAAACTTTCCGTTTCCGTTCCGCTTCCGTCCACATTGCGTTTGAGCCTTTAGTAACAAATTTACTTAACATATCTGAGTACAGTTGTCTTGCATCTTGATGGACACTCTGTATGAAGTATAATGAATCAGAATTTTCCCGTATAATTTACGGCCATTTATGTTGCTATAATTTAACAGGTTTTTTTTATGAAGAGCTTTGAGTGGGTTGGTTTATTTCCTTTAAATTCCGTTATAATTGCTTATCTTTTGACAGATACGCGTATTTCGTCTACTATTTGCAGACTTCATCAGTGCCAAGTACTCAGCACCACTACTTGGCACTGTTGAAGTCTGCAAGTAGTAGACGAAATACGCGTATCTGTCAAAAGATAAGCAATTATAACGGAATTTAATGGAAATAAACCAATCCACTCAAAGCTCTTCATAAAGGGATTCCGTTAAGAGGTTCAACAAATTTAAAGGAATAAGGATTTTTTTCTCTAGCTGTTTTAAAAATTGAACGCGGAAAAATCCGGACACAATTTCACTGAATCAAGCTAAAAGTGCATAGATTCACAGTAGGCATTGATTGTCAGGATAAGTTCATTTGTTTACATCATGGCTTCACCGGAGCAAGCACGTCACGATTCGATCCTGCACGAAACGAAAATCCCAATCCATCCGCTTCTGGCAGTTTTCGATCAAATTCCTGGGCAGAAATTTTATACCTCGGTTGACCGGAAGAGTGCCCCGGAAGACTGTAAAATCAAGAAGAAGTTGAAATTCCCCAAATAGTTGCTTGTCTGGCACACAATCTGCAATTGTGGGCTGAAAAGCGAAACTTTCGTTACTTCTGGGACCAAGAACCAGCAATTTGGGTTGTTTAACTTCGAAAAATATACCGATTTTTATACATCATCTGATAGACCTTCGTTTTCTGAGCACAACGATATTGTTATCGATCCCGTAGACATTCATCTCGATTTTTAAATCAAGATATAAATTTTTGATCGTTTACACTAAATCTATTGGTTGACAGCTCGCTCCCATACAAAGTCTCACCAAGGAGCGCTAAGATGGTAATTTTTGCTAATGTAATCGTACTTATTTAAAATAGTTGCAGTGTACCAAAATTGATGCAATCTTGGATTTCGGTTCCTTTTTTAATGTAGATAACGAATACGTATTTATCTCAATACCCCTAAACAACCCAATTTACCAGGAGGAATGCTTACGGAAGAGACTACTGCACTTTCTGGAGCAGCATGAAGCGGATTGCCTATTCTGGCCGGACTTTGCAAGCTGCCACTACTTAAATTCCACCAAAAAATGGTACAGCGAAAATGGCGTCCCAGGGAGATGAATCCGGCAAATACTCCGGAACTAAGGCCAATTGAGAAATACTGGTCAATTGTGAAGGGTGGAACTGGAATTGACCTGAAGGATTTCAAGCGAAAATGGAATGAGGCAGCCAAACAAGTGGGAACAGGGCTCGTGCAAAAAATGATGGGCCGTGTACGAAGAAAAGTTCGAGCAATTGCCTATGGTAAGAAGGAAGACTTACAATTAGCATAATACCTACTAATGTATAACTGTTACACTCACGGGGTAAGTTACTCAGCACATTGTGCCGAAATTAGATTCGGCACAGCTTGGCCACATCTATTGGCACACCTTCGACATACCTTTAGCACACCTTCGGCACAATCTCGTAGGCATTGGATTGTTGTAAACAAAATGGGAGCACTGCTGGACAGCTGGCATTGAAGTTGTTCACAACAATACGTGCTGTTTGACTGACTGAGGAACTCAGACTTAATCCGATTTATCCTTGCGATTTCAAACCAAAACACTCAAGGTGTCAGAAATACCGGGTTGCCGGGATGGATATTTTACAAACAATCTATGACCGACACAGATGGCACACTTGCGGTACACTGATAAAAAAGATGACCCAAGACTGGTGTGCGAAGAGACCTACTCCTTGGTTACACTGCACTATGAAAAATAAAAGGCATTTTTAAACCCCAACATGATTTCCATATCCGGAATTTTCGTGTTCAACCTTTATCTGCGTAAAAAAACCATTTCAATTACGTTGAACAGCCTTGTAAGTATGATTTAAAACATAACAAAACAAAATAAAACTGTAACCTAAAAACACACACATAAAAAAGCAAGATAAGGGAAACGATATGTGATATAATAATTCAAATCTCCTAGCACAAATAAAAACGAACCACTCACATTGATAATAAATTTAAATATTTTATTTTCCGATAACTGTTTCATTCACCTACACAAAGATTGACCAAATCATAAAAAATTATAATATACAATTTATACGCTATACGAGAACCGCGCGTTTGCCTTATTACCAAAACTTAGAACAAGAAAAAAAAACCTAAAACCTTACACGTCGAATTTTGATTTTTCGCTTCAACTTCCACACTAACAAAAGAAAAAAAAAGAAAACTATCGAGCTTGAATAAAATTATCATAATAATAGCAATCCTAATTCAGAGACCACAGCGAATTAGGAAACACAACCCGGTATAAATGGCAACCAAATTAGATGACAAGACATTTTTTACGAAATATTCAACAACCGAAAATTCACTATTTAAAAAAAAACTCCTGCCCTAGCTGGCAATTCATCTGTGTCTTCTTCTTCTTCTTCTTCTGCTTCCTTCTTTTGATTAGGTTTTCGGAGATCACCTTCCATTAAATCGCAATCATTTCACATTTTGTTTGTTTGTTTGTTTTCTTCACTATTGAGGAGGAACATTGCATACCATACTACTTAGTTTCTTGCACGCGCTTTTTTTTTACTCGGAACGGAGGAACTGCGACGAACTGAAGAATCGGTTGGTTTGGTTTCTAAAATACAGTTACAGTGTTGTGTAGTTAAAATTCCCTGAATTTGGATGCAGAACCCGTCTGTTTGTACACGCGTTGCGTTCCACTGTGTTGACTCACGGTCGCCATCTTGTGATTGTTTCTTTTTTTTTCGGAGTTAAGGTATGTACACACTCGGATCGGTTATTTACACGGTTTTTGGCGGATGGCTGCGAACAAGATGGCGGTGAGCTTACCGGGAAGGGGGTAGGCGGGAGTCCAGCAGTATATATATATATAGATTCGTATTTAAATATATGTTTCATATATGTATAGATGGCTTTCTTCACTTACACTAAGCTACTTTTGTTTTTGTTTTTGAATAGTTTTCGCATTTGTTTTTCTCTCTTGGCATCCTTCGATTATTTGGTATCCGTTGTCAACAACAAATTTGATTTTAGTTTTAGTTCAGGGGTGGGATTTTTCTTCGTATTCGATGGGTGGGGGGTGGGGTTGGGGGGAAGAGATATAGAGTGAGATTTAGGATTCCATACCGTGACGTTGCTGGCTGGCGGCGGCAGCGGCGGCGACCGCTGCGAAAGCGAGCTTATGATGGCGTTGCTTCAGGTACAGCGAGGCGGCGTCGTCCAGTTCTTCGAGTTCCTCCATCGTGACGGGGGACCGAGGCGAGTGCATGCTGAGGTCTTCCGGTTCGGTTTGCTCCGGCATGTTGGACTTGATGTGGGTGATTTGGGTGGGGGTGCTTCGGATGGCGGCCCGGAGGTCCATGGCTCCAGCGGGATGGTGATGCCGGGTTTCGGCTGAGCTGAAGTCCAGGGGAAGGGTGAGACCGGGGAATTTTTGGTGGAGGAGGACCGAGGATTTGAGCTCCATGGAGAGGTCCGAGTGTTCGGAACAGCCGGACTTCTGGTCGCAGAGGGACATGGTAGGGCTGATGGCGGGCGTTGGAGGGCTGGTGACGTTGCACTTGTGATGGTACCAGTGGTGTTTCCGGCGGTACCTGGCGTTGCATTTATCACAGTGGAATGGCCGCTCGCCGTTGTGGCTGAGCATGTGAGCTTTCAGTTGGTTGGAATCGCTGAACTTTTGCTGGCACATTTCGCACTCGTAGGGCTTTTCGCCGGTGTGTACCCGGAGGTGCCGCCGGAGGTTGGCGACCTGGACGAACTGGCGATCGCAGTGGGTACAAGAGTAGGGTTTTTCGCCGGTGTGTAGCCGCATGTGGGTCTTGAGGTGGTGGTCCCGGGTGAAGCGTTTGTGGCATTCCGGGCATTCGAAGGGTTTCTCGCCAGTGTGGGTTCGCTCGTGGTTTTGGAGGACGTGCTTGTAGCCGAACGAGCGGTTGCAGATCTTGCAGGTGAAGACCTTGTCCCGCGAGGGATCCCTTGGGGTGGAGGTAGTGATGGTTTGTGGTAGGTCGACGCTCCCGTTGGATTGAGGCGACGAGCCTGAGGTAGGTGGCGAAATGGGACCCGGGCTGACCATGTCCGTGATGTCAGCCGGCATGGTTTGGCCCGGAGATTGAAGTAGCGCGGCGTCCGGTTTGACTGACAGTTGTTTTCGCTTGGCAGGTTTCTTCTGCTGAGGTAGGATCTCGGAGGTCGTCGATACGATGTGGTTATTGTTGTTGGTAAGTTTGAGGGATTTGGAGCTCTTGTGACTCAGGGCCGGTGAGATGGGGCTCTGAGGAGGCGGTGGGCTACTGTTGTTGCTGTTAGGGGTGGGAGGAGCCCACGCTCCGAAGAGGGCCGGATGCGGTGGGAAAAGGCCCGATGCTAGATGGGCCCGGAGCGACATGGGTAGCCCGGCGGCCATCAGAGCTGCCGCCGTCTGGTTGGCGGCCAGGAGCTGGGGAGCCAGCATTCCCAGGGATGGACCCGACGACGGGTAGCCACCGAAGATGGTAGGACTGTGATTGACGTTCATGTTCAGGTTCAGGTGATGGGGCTGGTGGTGCTGACCGGTCAGCGGCGGCGACACCGACATGCTGCGCTCCTCTTCCCGTTTCATTCCCTGCAGGCTATTGCGGACGGCGGCTAATCCTGTAAGCGAAGGAAGAGAAACGGAAAACAGAAATTAATAATTTGATTTGGTCCGGGCGAAAGCGAAGAACGTGAATCGAAGCGACTAAAAAGCTATTGATTTTTTTTCGAACCGTCGCGTCGAGTGCGTTCGAGATTGAATTAGTTAACAAAATAAGCAGTTGGGTTGATATTTGATATATGAACGAGCAGGAGCCAGCTGATTGTTTGAGCTGGAAATTATAGTTCTTTCCCCTTCAATCCGAAAGCAGTGTGTGTGTTTACCTTCGCTCCCCGCTGACTGCGGGGCATTCGAACTTGGAAATGTGACAATATTGATTTCGATTTCTCCCGCGTCGGAAGTCCCGCCGGAGTTTGCCCCACCCCTGCTGCTCGAGATTTGACAATGTGATTAGCCGCGATCGCAGCAAGCGCGTGTGCTTGGATCTCACCCCACTTCCAACAGATGAATGAAAACGTAAACAAACCGACTACTACGATCTGCCGGGCCTCATATGTGAAAGGATTCTCTCCCTTTCAGGCTCTTTCGCTCTCGCCGCTGCTTCTGCTCAGCCCTTTTTCCATCGGATCCGATTGTGAGTGAGCGTGCGTGTGTGTGTGTGTGTGGGAGAGACGAAGTCCTCATCCTCATCACACATGAGTGTGAGCGCGAAATCAGGAAGCAAAACAAAAACCCCTTCTCCGTTGGGCTCCCCGCAACGATTTTCCTCGCTTGGATGTCGACGAAGGCGAGGACGAGGACGAGGACGACGACGGCTAGACGGTTGAATTGCTGGCACGTTCTTGCTCGTATTCGTATGTCTGCCTCCCTCCCTCCCTACAATCTACTCTCTGTGTAGGGTTGCAACACGAAAGGATCCCCCCGGTCGTGTCGGAGTTTCGGGGTTTGGGGCAGGGGGTCTACTTTCACTTTCATGAATGCCGGTTCGTACACACATGGGTTTGTTTTGAATCGCGCGAACTCTTCCGAACGAAAAAGGATGCACTCGGGGTAAAATATGTTTTATTTACGATTACGATACGGCAACTCGAGTCACTATTTCCTGCACACGGTTCGTGGGAAAACGAAGCGAAGACCAAGTGCCGTCGGCACTTGCAACTGGCAGGTAGCGAGTGCGATGAGCCCCAGTGTAACCCGGCCTGAACCGATTCGATTTTTATTGATTTCCTTTGTTCCGGATGGCGCTGCGGGACATGGGCACCGTCGAAAAAAAAACCCGAAGCTAATCCTTTATTTATAATTTTATTATTATGTGTTTATGATTTCACCCCTTTTTTATGGCTTTTCTGTGAAAGTGTTTACTCTTCCGTATTTCTTTTTTTTTTCGGCTCTCCATGGTACACGAGCTTTTCCCTCCGAACCGAGCGTCTTCGCGTTCGGTTGTTTACCTCCCCCGAGCAAGAAACCAAGCAAGCGTTGAAAGAAAGAGTTCATTTCACTTGAGACCGGTGTGTGGCACGCGAACAAATGAAGAAAAAATGCCTCCCTCCTTGATTATTATTCTCCCATTCCATCAATCATCCTGGGCCCGTTTTCCCGGGTTGCTGTGCGTCTTCAAAACCGACCGAGCTCAGCCAGCAGAGCCATCGGGAAGAAAGGGATAAAAGCGAAAATTTTCGCGAAGCCCCCCCAACGCGTAAATCAGCCACCGCCGCCTCTGTCTCCGTACGGCTTACTCCTTCCCCTGGACGACGCCCTCATTATAAGCCAGAGTTTTCCTTTCTTCTACCGTCGTCGTTCTTGTCGTTGGTGAAATTCGTCTCTGCTGCCACCACCTCTTTGTATATAAAACGAAATAAGGAAGCTGGTACACGGGATCTGGATTCGTTCCCCCCCCCCGCCCCCCAACCCCTTTCCGCAGGCCAGCCCTGGTTTATGTAATCCAGGGAAAAAAATACGCGAGCGGTTGCAAGATTAAAAGAAAATAACCCTTATTCAAACTAATTACGCCGTTCGCTTTTGCCGTCGTCGTCGTCGTCTTCTTCTTCGCCAAGAAAAAAGGGTCGACGATGGTTGGCTGGTAAGTAGGTGCGGGATTTTGGCCGGGTGTTTTAACCACCACCCACTGCGGAGCACCAGAATGGGTTATATATTTTAAAAAAGATATTTAAATTTTTATTTCTTTCACCCCCGCGGTCCCCGCTGACGGATTTTCCTTTCATTTTACATGTAGTTACTGTAGAGCTGGAGATGAAGCTGGCAAAGAAAAAAAAAATGCAAAGACGGCAGCGGTGAAATTAGCATGGCGTTTTGAAGCTGTACTTTTTCGTGGAATCCACCGTCGGGCAAGAGGCAAGAGGTCAACATTTCGAGAATTATGTAAATCGATCGCCTGGTCCAGCAAGCGGAGTCGGCACCGGTTCGTTCTTTGTCTGTTCTCTGTTGATTTAATCAAAACCAGTTGATTTTGAATCGTAACAAGCCGCCGGTGGCGGCGGCAGCGCGGCTACTGCGGATCGAGTGTGTAGTAGGCGGGTTGAACCCCCACTTTTAATGGCCATCTCAGACACTGCGTTTGATTAAAAACCCCCAGAGAAGAAAGCAACAGAGAACACAAGTTTGAATAATTAAAAGGGGCATTAATTTGATTTACGGTCGTGTATGACCGGCTGCCGCCGGCCATCGGCGGTTGTGCAGGGTACAAGTGAAATGTCTTTCGTCGGAGCAGAATTGGTGAAATTTGACACTTTTCGAAATGGCGGATGTCAAAGCAAACGGGTAATCGTTTGTTTATGGTTGTTATTTTTGGTGCTTGGGAATCCGTTAGCAAGGTAATCTGTAAACTGAACGTAACCATCTCTTGCAATAAGTGTGACGTTTGACGTTTAAGTGTGATCCGGTCTGAATGATGAACACAAAATTAAATTATTACCTCTGACTATATATAATCGATGGTGGTTGAGGTATGTTTGCACCCGTTAACACTTATGGAGATTGACATTTTGTATAGAATTCATTGCTCCTCATTGAATTCGTATTGGATTCCCCTCGGTCATCTGAAGACATTTCGGACTGACTTCGACCCAAACTCGATGATGTTATTGTTTGGGTTGACTTTTCCTCGAATATTAAATTTTATCAAGGGGCAAGACAGCTCCTAATCATGAGCAATTTCTGAGTTGCGTTTTGTGGCACCTCGAGTAACTCATATTGCTCAATGAGCAAGATCACTGTCATTTGCTTTCTCACTTTTCGCATCACAGCAACATTTGAAGGTGTATCTATTGCTGCCTAGCTGCTTTACACTTACCAAGGGTGAATGCTTGTCCGGCTTGATATGGTGGAAAAACTCGATCTGCCTACTGCAATACTAGTCGAAGCAATCCCGTTCCCATGGCTTGGCAAACTGCCACTGGATGAAACTGCGAACCGAGCTCTGAATTACCACTGTGCCGTTCTACTGACGGTGGACATCCATCCTTCGTCTTTTGGTGCTTCTGCTGTGCCTTCCGGATGATCGAGATACGGTCCCGTTTCTGCGATACGCCACCATGATTTTACTGCGGCCGTCGACGGCAGTCTCCTTTAAAGTTGAACATCACTACATACGTGTGTTCTTCGGTTCCTCGTTTGCCAAGTCCATAGCGGCCCAGGTATAGAATTTGTTGTTCGTCTCCATGTATTTTATGAACAGCGCGGACGATAAGTGATTGGTTGCGATCTTGTGAACTTGATCACGTCTCATGGTCTTAACATGACCGTGGGAATGCAAAGAGAAAGTCGACGAAGACAATCTGTCAGCTTGATTTGTTCTTCGTCTTCCTGACCGGGTTTCACTTCGATTTCGGCCGGTTGATCGTTGATGGGTCCGGACGATGATCGCACTCACCGGAAACATTGGTAGCGGTTACGTCAACGTCCTCCTCCTCTTCAGCTTCGGAAATAACGGCGGCTGAACATTCCGCGGGGGTCGGAGCTGGAATTGGGTGTTAATCGGTTGTTGCCCCACCGGGGAGATGTTTTCTATATCGGAAACTGTAGCGGTGGATTTTATTGTAGGGGCCACGGTTGAAATATTGCTCACCACGCTATGTTTGATGTGCTGTGATGGAATCTTCACGCTGTAGCTAACGTGCATGGTGCTAACGAGAAGGGGATCGGAGTAAGTTACTACAGTACTTGTTCGCTAACTGGGCGTTCTTTAACTGGGCTGCTTATTAACTGGGCGTTCGATAACTGGGCTGCAGCCCAGTTAAAAAGCAGTTATACGTCAACAATAGACGTCACATTTAGTTTGACATTTCGTTGTCATAATTGGTGAGGGGCATTCAAATGGAAATTTAAGTTTTAATATAAATAAATTTGAAAATATTTTCATTTCACTCTGAATTATAGACTTGAAAGCATTTTTAGCGAAAGCGTTAAGCCTTTTAAAATTCGCGAGTATGAATGCTGTGAAAATAGCAATAACAAGCTGTTTTATGTCGATTAAAACGCAGTACGAACAGTTAACTTGACCTTTATTCAGGATAGATCCGAACACCTTCTCTTACTACTCAGTAATCATTCATGACAAAATGGTGGAGCCAAGAGGAGTGAAAACTAGGGGTGTGCAAATACTATAACATAACTTGGTAATCCTTCAAATTAGTTGGTAAGCGTGTTGCTCTTCTTGGTCGGGATCCACTCACGGTTGGCTTCAGAATCTGTTTCGGTGACTCACAAATAGCTGGCGCCACATCTGGTACTTGTGACACCTGCGACTGCAGCAACCTTCTTGGCGGCGACTGATCAATTTCCGCATCAACAATCGAAGGAGGCGACGGTTCAACAATTTTATCCTGCTTACGAGTTTGAAAATCTACTTGCAATTTCGATCCGGTATTTGGAACTTCAGCTTCATGGTTGCGATTATCTTCCTTTTGCTGCAAAGATTGCAACGGCTTCGGCGTAGAACGGTCAGGCGACGTAGAGGGTTCCTTACGCGGCTTCAGGTGTACCAAACTTCGACGAATGTTCGACCCATTTACATTAACCATGTAGGAGCGTTCGTTGAATT